AAACCACGGTCTTCAGATTGTACCAAACTTCTAGGTATAAAAACCATAAAACTTCTTGATAGGAATTCAAAACGTCTAGATATAAATCCACATAAACTGTCTAGATATAAAACGAAATAAACCGTCTAGATAGAGCCATGCTAAAAATAAAGGCGAATGTTATAACAGGAAATAGGAAATTTGAACAGGATTTAGATAAAATACTTTAATTATTAAATGAACAATTTAAAACTATTAAATGAATAATTTCACATAGACTAAAATTAATATGAAAAGGAAAAATATTATTTGATACATTTAAACATAGTAAAGCATAATATCTTATTCCAAAAAAAATATATATAAATTTATATAAAACGTGTTATCCATTGTTGAGGTTACGTTCAAAATTTGACATTTTATTTAAGAAATTCTTGTACAAAATATATATTTTCAACAATATATCAGTATTAAAACTTACCTTATAAAATCAGACGGAATTTATGATAGATAAAAATTATTTAGTAAATCGGATGACCAAGATATATTAAAAAAATTCAAATCAACTTATTTCGTTGACAAATTCAAATCAAATGAAATACGAAATTTTGACACAAGGCATAAATGACATTTGAGTAGAGGTGATTGTGTTGAAATAACGAATAACGGTTCCAACCGTTACAATACATATTCAAAAAAATATATTTTTAAATGATGATTTTATGTACCCCTTAAATAATAATATAGGCACCCACACCTAAAATTTCTTGATCTGACATATTTATTACTCCGAGGCGATTTCGATTCGACTATAAATGAAAATTCATGCATTTTCTCTCAGTCCGTATATTAAAAGATCTTGTTATATCATGTAATTATTAATTAATACCTTCATAGTTTTTCATCATAATTCAATTAAAAAACTTTTTCAAATTTTAATTAATTTTAGCCAAAAATAAATATTATTTTAATATATATTTTATTTTCGAAAATAATTTATGTTTTATAAATTACCAATTTTAACGATATGCTTTATTATACAAAGTGTTTATGTTCTATAGGAATCCGTTATAAAAGAAAGGCGTGTCCCACTCAAAATAAAAAAGTTGACACCTACTTTCGGTAAAAGCGAAAATGACAGAACTATCAAAATATTTTACATGTTTACTACTCTTACTAATTTTTAAGAAAATCAGTCCATTAGTTTTTAAGAGTGCCCCTCGTCGCTGGACACCTTATATATCTTGGTTCTTATTTTTTATATTAGAGCAACCCGGTGTCTCTATATGTATTAACTGATCTAATAAAAAATACTTACTTAATACAATATCAGAAAATGCTACCGCACCAAGAGAAAATTATAAAAAATATCATTCGCATACGTCACCTGCCCCAAATGATACTGAATACTTCATTAGTTATTGTGTCCCCATAACTGTATGCGTATTGGGATTCGCTTACACACAAATTTATGAAACCAATATTTATTGAAATATATTTATTTTTTGTAGGGGGCGCCACTTTCTAGTACAACAACTAGTCCCCACTTCAATACCAAAGTCAAAAAATATACACACCTGATATTTTACCTAGTTGTGGGGACAGTAACTTATTTAACAATTTTGGTAAAAGTATTAACTCTAGATTAGTTAAAATTAAAAGTGCCGCGAACAAATTTTTTTGCGATTTTTTTATGTAGCAATGATCATTAAAAGAAAACAAACAACGAAGATAAAGCCAAAAAAAGTTGTGGGGACAAGTGTGTATGTCCCCACAACATTAAATGTCCCCACAACTTTTACTGTCCCCACAGTCCTGGTTTTATTCAGGCGAAAATCCCACAAGTACGGTAAAACATACGCACACACACACACACACACAGACATCATCGCGAAAATAGTCAAAACGGATTCAGGGGACCTCAAAACGTAAAAATCCGTCGAAAACTCGAGGTCGAAAAAAATCATGATTCCTATACTTTCCTTATATCTGTATACAGATAGGAAAGTAAAAATGAATTAGTTTATTCAGTAAAAAGTGAAAATATTAAGAAACAAGTAAATATTGAACTTAAGCTGGTAAATTTAAATTTTATACCTCCAATATTAAAATTACCCACTATATTGTTTTGGGGGGCAACTTCCTTAGGCGCAATTCACATTGAACGGACGTCGGGCGAAGACGTGGCACAGACTTATGTCGCTTCCGCGTCTCTCCTGTGTAATTAAATGGCCGAGTGTACACAGAGAGGCGACCGGGCGCTGACGGCCGCCATCCTGCCTTTGCCACGTCTCTTTCCAGTCTCTCGTGGCGCATAGAAACAGACACGTCCGTTGCACGTCACTTGTGTGTATTTTCAAAATGCGAGACGATATTGAATTTAACATTCAGTTTTGTGAGGAAATTGAAAAGTATCCATGTTTATACGATTACAGTCGTTCAGATTATTGTAATAGGAGTGCCCAGGACCAAACATGGCAGAAAATCGCAAAAAAATTGGTGTTCAAGATAAGTTGTAATCTACTATATTTTTACCTTTTTTTACGGACTTTATTTTTTATTTTTATGACAAAATATTTGAAACATTTGTCAAAAAAACGATCTATTAGTGTACATACACTTCTAGTCATATTAGCTACGTAATTATATAGTGTTAGTATTTATTACTATTTATACTTTAGTATTTATACTTGAAAATTCCATGCACACCAATCGTTTGTAGCCAAAACTATGGTTCTCTAAACTTCACCTCACCGTTCCAGCTACTGACCGAAATTACTTGTTACTATGCCGTCCTTTCTGTGTGAATTGGCATACGTCACGTCTCCGCCACGTCCGTGCCCCGTCCTTGCCACGTCTTCGCCTACGTCGGTTTAGTGTGAATTGCACCTTAGGATGCAGTAAAACTTCTGTAATTCTGCTACTCGAGCACGAACACCAAATCTCGTTTTTTCTATATTTCTGCATTCACTGAACTGCTTCAATGTCCAAAAAGGAAGATATAGACTTTGAATCCCAGGTATAAATGCTAATTCTAGTTTGTTGTTCTAGTTCTAGCAGCTCCTATTCGTTTTCTAAATAAAAAATAAATTCTGTTTTTCACGTGGCTCTTATATGCGATATAAATTAAATTTGAAATATCTATTTTTTAAAATTAAATCAAGATACAATAACACTAGTTTATATGAACACTGTGCAATTCCAGCAATCAAAATGAATTATAAAAACATATTTAAAAAAATTTAACCTAACTTTCAAAAAAATAAAGTTATAACTAACAACAGGTTGAAATATAATTTCTACCGAGATATTTTTAAAACGACATTATACTTTTTTTACTCACCACTTGTACAGCACTAGTAGATAATATCGGGAAATGAAATTTCAAGATCTAATAGCGAAATCGTCTGCTTTACTGTACTCCCACTTCACGAAATTTCCCTTTCTTAGGAATATTGCGTGCGGCGATAATTAAATTTAAATTAATCGAATACTATTTTATATAGAATGTCATAATTAAAATAACATTTTTAACTGGAATTTTAAAATGTTACAGCTTAGGGAGCGTTCAAGTATTACGTAATGAATTTGGGGGGGAGCGGGGGTTTTGTAAAACCTTACGATGCGTTACAGGGGCGGGAGGGGGGGAGTTGAACTTTCCGTTACGTAACATTATTTTTTAACCCTTCAGAAAAGTCGCGTATTTTAGCGACTTTACGCCACATAATTGTGATTTTTAGGTAAAAATAGTCACTTGGTGGTTACGTAACGTTTTACTATGGGGGGGAGGGGTACAGAAAAACGTTGCGGCGCGTTACATGAAGGGGGAGGGTGGGTTAAAAATCTCCAAAAATTGCGTTACGTAATACTTGAACGCTCCCTTACAAGCAAAAACAAGTTAAAGTAGTAATGTGTGCCTGGATGACGGACGCCAGTTTACAACTGTTAAAACATAGTTAACTGCTTTCAAGGAGAAACAAATATAACGATATCAGATTTCAATGGATAATTAGCGCTTGTTGGAATAAATTGTAGGTTATTAAAAGTTGAACCCAACACAAAGTATAAATACGGCCATAAGGCGCGCTTACCAACTGGATGTCTCATTTCGGTACCAGCTGCATCCATCTCCATATGGATAATGACATTCCAACTCTTTTTAAAAACAATTTATTAAATTTGTACATATTTATTTTATTTAACAACTACCTACATTAGGGTTTCACATTTTATTTATCTTTGCTCAGAGGACTTAAGTGATTTATATAACAGAAAAGAACTGTCGCGATTTTAATGAGAGCACAATTGTCTTCTAACGAAGCACAGGCTTGTCTGGAGTTTTGTGTCGTTCGAAAGAAAGAGATACATATATGTCTACGTGACTTAATTTGGTTAGCCTTGAGTGTTGCGCGCCAATGTGGTTTGGCGAACGCGATTATTGTCACATACACGTTTATTTACGGTTACTAATAATGAACATCTGGATTCGCGAGCACAGGACTGTCTTTGATATGTTTCAAAACAGGATCTATAAACATTTATTCGTACAATGAATAAATTAACTGCAATTTTTAGTGTCTAATAAAAATGAGGCATATGAACTATCCTAAGTTACATAGATCCTTTATCCATAAAATTTTATCAAATTTTTTTGTACATAGACCATTTATCTTCTGAATACTCTTATGATTATTATCAGATTCTGCTGAATCATTGTAGGAAAATTATTTACCATTTATTAAACCTCTCTCTAAGTCATTTTTTTAAAAAATGCGACATAGTCCCTTTATCCGTTCATGCCTTCAATTATAAAAGTTAAATGGCCATCATTACAATTGAAGGGTAACACTTAGTGGGAAGTCACGATAATAAAAATCTAAAGGTTAAACCTGATTGGCGAAGCTTTAAAATCTTTCTTTTGGGACCGCTACATACCAGCATCTTAGCCATAACTTTTTCACATACCATACTTGCAAAAAATAAATAAAAGACAATCCAATAAGATAAAAAAATATTTAAAATTCTTTTAAAATAATTTATTTTAATCTCTTACAAAATAAATCAAACAATCCGTAATATTTACTTAGTTTAAATCAGTGGGTTTTCTGAACTTTCAGCGTAACTCTTGACTCGCGAGAAAACGAGAGGCGGAAAACGATTTCCCCATAAATCAAAATTACATGTAGTCTCATCTCCCTTTTTGGATTTTGTCACTATGGAATAGTGACTCCAGTGTAACTGTTCATGTTTTTTCCTCTTGCTTCTAATTTGAAATTCCTGAAATATCAAGAGTCTTATCACTCACTATACAGGCTGAATCCTAAGTTAATACTTTTTTAACTGTATTGTAAAAATAAGTAATTTTTCAAAAAAAAAATCAAAATAAAAAAAATACTATAAGAAGACATGCCAGGTTTTGAAACTAACAAGGTCCTTCAAGACAACGTCAAGACTGATTTAAATTTGTTGGCCGGCAACATATTATGAGTAAGATATTAAAATGACTCAATCTTTACATTAATCACCGGTGTTCCTTATGTGTTCCAATGTGTTAAAAGACTCATTTTTTATGGATTAGAATAGTTCTTTATTTAATATAAAACGTTAATCCAAATTATATACTATTTAGATGCTATCAGAGCAGTAGCCCATCATAGCTCATTATAATCTTACCATGTTATAAATCTGTTCACTTTTCTTAATCGTTTCTTGTTTCTTAGTTCTCCTAAATGTTTCTTGGTTTGAATTCTTTGTTTGCCTTTGGATTACAAGTATTACTTTATCGTCTTTCAACCTGTAGTAACCAGATAGAACAGGATATCGGACATTTTTTAATTTCAACAAATTAATACTTTGCAAAGGTTCTTCGGCAGATGTAAGCATTAATACAGTACCATCAGGATAGAATCTGCAATTAGTTTTAAAAAGTATCTACGATTAAAAAAAGTTCATGTTTTACCTTAAATATCTGTAATATGCAACAAGATACCATGGACGATAAAATTGATCTTGAAAACTATTCTCACCATTTCTTATGTAAGTATTCTTACTAATATAACAGCCGTTAAAATTGACTCTTGGTCTCTCGATAAACATATCCCTCCAAGATTTGTAACTTCCAGTTGAAGTGCCACAGTTAACACCCCATGTTCTATAAAAATAAATGAGTGCTTTAAATAATAACATATTCTCCACAATAGAGGACTTCTATACAAGAGAAGTGCAACCAACTTAACAAAATAAAATTGACACTAATGACATAAGAAATCGGGTCACATAAAGAGGCTGTTTTATGTTCGATTTTTGGTTTTTCTTATCTACTTTTGTGCCCTTTACATACCATATTGTACCCGTAACGTGGCTCAACCTCCTAGGAGGCGTAGATGCTACCCTTAAAATCTGAAATGGGAATGGGGGTCAAATGGCACATCATTTTAAAGAGCGTTTAATTTTCTTTCCAATGGTACCCTAATTTATTATCTTCTGACAAGCAAGTTCCGAAAAATTTCGTTTCAAAGTTACAGAAGTTGGAACATGCCTGCACTGAGATTCTCAGTTTTTATGTTAGTATTTAAACAATAATTATTGCATTAGGTATCATTTTAGCAGAAATGTTTAGAAGATTAGGTGGCACCAAACTTTTACATTTAAAAGTAATCTAATAGTAAAATTTCGATGGCAGTTAGACTGCATTTATCAAATGGTGGATTTTTAATTCTTATCGTTGAAATTCCAGATAGGCTTTTGTCAAGTAATAGTTATTTATGTGTCAGCTCAAAAAGTGATACTTTACAGGGCGAGCATGCAGGTTTGATAGCATGCGAGCCCTGTAAATATACTTTCCGAGTGTGGCGCGTACAATATTTTTTATCCTGCCACCAATATAGGAACAGAATATTTATTGCTCAAAATTTATAATAAAACTCATTTATTATTAACATCTACTAAGAGATAGCAACTGTAATATTTAACATACTCTTCTAAAATTCTCTCTGACTAGACGCTGGTATTTTGCCTTTAATAAAAATTTTAACATACGAGCTCGGGAAAGTAGGTACTTTGCCGAGCAGTTATGTCACTTTTCCAAGCAGTTATGTCAATTTTGCGATCTAGACCGAGCAGTTTCCGAGCTAAAAAATTATCGGATAAATGCATTTTCTAAAGTGGCAGCACAAAATATAATTGTTTAGCAAATTTTGACCATTTCGTATTAATATTGTTAATCCAGTTCTGCTTGTTGGGCTGTTCAGACAAACTGTTAATTAAGTAAACTGCAAAAAATGGTTTACTTTCTACAGGAAAGAATCGAAATGATTTTCATTTATGAACAGGTTGGAAAATGCGCACGAAGGGCAGCATTTCTTCTTAATGACAGAAACCCTAATTGTATTATAAGTTACATGTATATTCTCGATTAGGTAGCAAAGTTTTTGGAAACTGGTTCCGTTAAAAATAGGAAAAGAAATAACCGACGAGTACTAAATGAAGAAGCAAAAAATGGGGGTTTTGAGCATTGATTACAGTGCTAACTAGCTCCATACGAACAGTAGTAGAACAGATAGGAATATCACGCGAGACTGTAAGAAGAGCACTGGAAATGCATAAATTTCATCCCTATAAATGCAGATACTTCAAAAGTTCTACCAAAGAGTATAGTTGTTCTACGAAGATGATTTTGATAGAAGAATAGTTTTATGAAACCATGTCTGATCAAGTCAATGCCAACCCTAATATTTTCCTGAATATCTGTGTCAGCAATAAATCTTCATTTTTTCTTAATGGCAAAGTTAATAAACAAAATTATCAGTACTGCAGTGATAAACACATGCATATTATTCGAGAAGAGCCATACACAATGTCCGCAAAAAGTTAACGTTTGGTGTGGTATTCTTGGATATGCAATTATTGGTCATTTATTTATTGAAGGAAACTGGACAGGCGATCTGTACCTTAATATGCTTGAAGAGTATATTGATCCTTTTATAACTCACGAGCTAGAAACTCAAACTGATGCGTAATTTAGTTGTACAGGAGGCTCCGTTACATTTCTAACAGGACGGTGCTACACCTCATTTTTTTTCTCTCCGTTAGACAGTAGTTAAACGAGATATTCCCAGACAGTTGGATTGGCAGAAGGGGAGTAATTGAATGGCTCCCAAGATCACCTGATTTAACTTCCTTAGACTTTTTTCTTTGGGGGGACACATTAAATCTGTTATTGATGATCATAAAAAACGAATTACAACAGTATGCTTGTCAATTCCCGGTGAAGTTTTCTGAAATGTTAGAGAGGAGTTCGAAAACAAACTCTTTACACTACAATGGACACCATTTTAAACAGTTTTTAAAAGAATGTACAAGTAGATCCTATTTATTTTATTTTTAAAATTATAAGTTATTTTTATAAAAGTCACGTAACCAAAAAAATAAAAAATCAAACGTGTAGACTTGATATTCCTCCTGTTATTCAACTCGATAGAATAACTTCTGTTTAAATACTAAACCAAGAATCTCAGTGCAGGCACATCTGTAATTTTGAAACTCAATTTTTCAGAACCTGCTGGTCAGAAAATAATAAATTAGGGTACCATTGGAAAGAGAATTAATATTTATTAATATTAATATTTTAAGGGTAACATCTACCCCTCCAGGAGGTTGAGCCATGAGTGTTAAAAGTATTAATTGTAGGTGTCCCCCTTGAAAATAAAATAGACGAGGTCTTTGAGATTTTTTATATTATTTACTGGAAGGAAGATATTCAGGGTGGGAAGTTTTCGATGTGTCACCCTGTATTTAAAAAATGGAAAAGTTTCTATAAACATTAGTGAGAGCTGTGACAAAATTCCAAGACCACACACAAGTGTCATACGAGTGTCATTAGTATAGCAGAAGAAAAATTGTGCAGGTTCTACGAAGAAAAAGAGGAAACATCAATCCACATCCTGTACCAGTGTGAAGGCCTGGCTAGATTAATGTTTCTAACATTGAGCGAAGAAAAGTCAGATGCTTGGAACTACATGAGGGAACCACTGTCAAAGCTACTAAGTCTGTTACTCTAAATAATGGAGTCCCACAAAAGATCTGAAATAGTCGCGGTGGACAAAGACAAATAATGTCCAACTCCTTTCAAATCTAATCTAAAATTTACACTCAAAGTAATTTTTTAAGTCACATTTTGTGTAAGTATTCAAAATCAGCAACCCCAAAAACCTAGCAAGCTTCAATTTTATAAAAAAAGCAATTTTAATATTGTCGAACGCCATATTATTATTGGATCCACCATTTTATATTTCTTATTTTTAATGCCATATTCAAAATTAGTGACCTCCGAAACCCCAATATGCAATATTTTGGACATAAAATAGACAAAAACATTCCATAGTGCAGTATTAAACTATGGTTTACAAAAAAAATGGATATATCCTGTGAAATATCCTGTATAATAAAATGGAGCAACCGAGGGAAATTCAAATATAAAATAAAATACAGGGTGATCCGTTTAAAACAAAAGTTTGTTCCATACTGAAGTTATTCAAAAATAGTTTTAATATATGTAGTTTAACACTTTCTACCATTCTGTGATTATATTGTTTCTTATATCTAATAATAAATAATATTTTATACCTTATACAAGCCGTTCTCCATATTTCTGGATCTCTAGCACATAAATAAAATCCTCTGCACACGTTCGAAAACATTTCAAGTGACCTCAAATCCAACTGGTCTGATACAACCCATTTGAGTATATACAAAATTATTTCTACAGGCATTTGACCAATGTGCAAACTCTAAAAATAAATTATGTTGAAAGATGTACTGCATCAAAATAAATACGTACTTTACATTTTTTTGTTGTTTTGGAAGGCACAATGTACACTTTTTGGAGGCCTTCCTCTGTATTCTGTGAAACAGTTCTTCATCTTGATTGTCTTCATCTTCATCAGATGAAGTTGTGCCAACTTCAATATTTTCTGCAAGTTATAATATATTGGAATTAAAATAGATCAGAAAAATATCAGTTATGTATAAATCGAAGAATTTTAATCCAAAAAATGTTTCTAAGATCGACAACGCATGGCTCTAAATTAAATCCAAACTAACACTTAATCTCTAAAATATAAAAATTAAAAAAAAAAACATCAAATTTAAGTAAATAAGTGTAATCATTTTCATGCTTTCCTGTTGTCATCAAAAATTGTTCATTGCTTTTTATCTTTTTTGTAATAATTTACAATTCGTTTGTTAATTCTACATTTCATCTGTCAATGTGGGTTTTTGCATGTTCTTGAAAATTGTGTTTTGTTATATTCTAACGCTTTTTTATATAATTTTTTTAACTAATTATAATATTTATTAAGAACGCATTATTATTATTATTATTGTTATATTTATTCGTATTAAGTATTTAATTTAATAATATTAACTACTCGTATTATACTCATGTTCATATTATTCATTAATTGATCATTAGTTAGTCTGCTAGCTAGTAAAATTAATTATTATTCATGTATATTATTTTTTATTATTATTAAGCTATTGCATAGTTTTTATCGCGGGCTTTGAGCGCGACGACCGAATCAAGAAATTCCGTAACGAAAAAAAACCTAACACCCTCCACTCCGACCGGCACAGCGGTGCGGTGTTAAACAATATTAACTTCTCATTTATTCAATAAAAGAAAATAGAAAAATCGTAAAGTAGAAAAAGAAATTCCGTAACGAAAATAAACCTAACACCCTCCACTCCGACCGGCACAGCGGTGCGCCGTTGAAAGCCGTGCATCGTCTAACGTCGTTTAGGTTCGGCAGACTTCGGCACAGTGTTTGTGTGCGTGCGAGCACAGTGTTTGTGTGCGTGCGACTAGACGTATGCGTGTAGACAAGCTGCTAACTGCTTATAACTGATTCTATCTCTTTTAGACATAATTTCGGAAAAATTGAATTTGAAAATGAATAATGATCCACAAGAATCCACAACAAAATATGGGACCACCATTGACGCAGTATTTTCCAGATATTTAGAGGATATCAAGTCTCAAACTTATATTTCTTATTTCAGTTACCACAAACCTATAGTTTCAATGATAAAAAATTCTGAATAGCCTACATGTATTGTAAGATAATAAAAATATTTTAAATATTTATTCAATAAAAAAAAAAAAATTTCTTAGAAAAAACTTGAATTAATATCAAAGAAAAAAAAAATACTGCATAAATAAAATAAATAAATATTTATAATTGCATAAGTTGATAAAAAATGCTATGCAATAGCTTTACCGCGGCAGTCTCCGAGTGCCACGCGTACTTTTTACATTATAAGAGATTTTATTTGTAAAAAAAAAATATATGTAAGAAGTAAAATATTATTATTGTTATTATTACATAAGTGAATTTTTCCAAGGCTTAGTTTAGAAACATTCTTTGTGTACGACTCATTATACAGTATGGTTCAAATGAAAGGAATAAATTCATTATAATGGAAGTAGTTGGTTTTTCGAAAAAATGCTCGGACAGATCAATTTTGTTTACTCAAAGCGCAATTTTTTAAATAGAATTTTATTTTCCCCCACTTCCCGTTTTTGGGCAGTGACGTCATTGGCAATTTTTTTAAATAGTAACCCCCATTTTTTTTTCTTGATTTTAAAAGATCTTGCAATTTCCTACTCGGAAACATAATATTTGAAATATGACATAACATTTTTTTTGAATAAAAGTCATTTAAAGATCAGATACATAAATTTTATTTTATTTTGAAACACAGTAAATGAATAAAAGATTTTTTGTAATTAAGTGCTTCATCTAAAAAAATAATAATAATAAAAAGAATTTAATAACAATTTTACAAATTGTTTTTTATTATTATTATTAATTATTATTATTATTTTGTTAGATTAAGCACTTAATTACAAATAATTATATTATATTCATGTATTGTGTTCTCAAAATAAAATAAAATTTATTTATCTGATCTTTAAATAACTTTTATTCAAAAAAAATGTTATGTAAGATATTTCAAATATTATGTTTCCGAGTAGGAAATTGCAAGATCTTTTAAAATCAAGAAAAAAAAATTGGGGTTACTATTTAAAAAAAAATGTCAATGACGTCACTGCCCAAAAATGGGAAGTGGGGGAAAATTGAATTCTATTTAAAAAATTGCGCTTTGAGTAAACAAAATTGACCGGTCCGAGCATTTTTTGGAAAAACCAACTACTTCCATTATAATGAATTTATTCCTTTCATTTGAACCATACTGTATAGAAGCTTAATAAGGGTTTTTTAGACAGGGGACTGACTCAAAGCCAAATAGACTGTCAAACCATAATAAATCAAATAAATACGATCATTATAATAGGGATAATTTTGCAAGTACATCAGCTGCTAACAGCATCTGTAATAATTTTAAATTTATAAATGTAAATAGTCAATCTATTATTAAAAAAAATCGAATTGAACTTTTACTGTATCAATATAATCCTGACATTCTTTGTATAACTGAATGTTGCTGTAATAATACTTTGTTGTCTTTTATTCACTTTAAAGATTACATTATCACCGATTCATACATTAGTAGCAACAAAACTCATGGTGGATCACTTCTTTTAATAAAAGAAACCATTACATATAAGACAGTAAATTTTATAAATAGCCTATCAGAAGAAATACATTTCGAAAACTGTGCTATATCATTTTCTGTAAAGAATATAAACTCTATTATTATAAAAGTCTACAGATCTCCCTCTGGAAATATTGAACTTTTTATTAAAAAATTGTCATATATTTTAAATAATGTTTTTTATGATACTGTATTTTTATGTGGAGTTTTATCCTAACTTGTCAGAATCACGACCCCACGCAGATACGTATAGATAAAAACAACCACATTACTAAATCTAAAATAGACTATTTTTTAACAAATTTTCCCATATATACTGAAACTGTGGTTGATTTTAATCTAAGTGATTATTTTGGCTTTAATGTTATGCTTGGAGACATCCCATGTGCACAAAGCAAATTTAACAATGATAGACCACAATCAGCTGGATAGAAAAAGGTTAGGTTAGGTTATCTGTAACCTGTGCATCCTTTTAAATTGTTATGCCCTTTTTAGTTAATCAGCCAGCCTACAGATTTAGTGTAATTGACATCGTGGAGAGGTGCATCTCTTATAGCATTAGCCAATACTTGCCAAACACAAATATTCTAATAAATGAGTGTCAGGCAATTGTACAGGATATGCTCGAGGGTCTCACTTCTTGTTCACACTCCTTGCAAAGTTGTGGACTCTGACAGTACCATGATATGGGGCTCTATAGAAAGTTCACTAAAATCATCGGGAACCCCTGACCAGCCCCAAGGCTTTAAATTCTTAATTACCAAAATAGATTAGACAATCATGTTTACCCTTTACTTCTTCTCTTAAAACTTCTTGTGCCATTTTAGGTTTAACTTTCTTATTCATAATAAATTCAATATCGGGTACAATTTGGACAGCTTGTCGATAAAATTGAATAGCTTCATAAAGTTTTCCAGAATTTTCCATCTCTGTACCTTTCATAAAGAGTTTAGTTGCTTTTTCATTAATGTAATCTTCATTGCTAGTTTCATTTACTATTTTAACTTGGTTCACAGTTTTATCACTAATAGTAGAATTTACTGGACTTATTTCTTCAGTTATGTTACTTTTTTGAATAGATCTTAGTTCTTTTTGCCATTGTTCCCGAAAATTGTAAAGGTCTTCTTCTTGCTAAAATGTAAAACCAAAGATGTTTCTAAAGAAATTTTAAAAATGGAAAAGCAAGCTTTTTTACATGAAAATAAATAAAATTATGTCCTAATTTTGAAGTTAATTTAATATACCAACCAAACCTTTTACTATTTGTCCTCAGTTCTTTTCCCATAATATCTCATAATCTGCCTATGAAAAAGTCAGAAATGAGAAATGGAAATGTAGGTACCTATTTAGCTCATTTTGTCTTGCTTTTCACATTTAGAAGAAAATAACTCAACAAGTACATACCTATACAAAATATGTAGAGAAATACCTAATATTTTAAATTATTCTGTGATTTACTTTTGTTAAATATATTATACAGATCATCCTAAGAATTGCATAAGCATATTGTTGATGCAAAATTCTAGACTCACCCTGTTAGTCTTAGATGATGATACATTTTCGGTATTATCCTGCAATGTATCCGATTTTTTCACATTACCTATATCATCTTCCATTATTTGTAAATTAATTAATCAATTCTTATATACGCAAATTTAATTCTATCAAAGTTTACATGTTTTTTTACAAATCTTCTCTTTTTCCTCCTTGAAACTTGTGAAAATATATCCACAGAACACAAAACAAAAGAACTGTCAGTAGGAAGGGTCCGTATATCTAATGGGTTCCAAATCTCTGATCCACCAGTTTGTGGATTAAACAATTGTGAAACAAAAAATGGTTATTATAAATACTCCCGAGTGAGATGAGAAATAAAAATGACTGCGCCCATAGAGTCGCGTCTTGTTCTATTGATACAATATACACATTGGCTTTCTACCCCACTCCAGGGCCTCGATTCTCGACTTTGGGGTCGATTCTCGACTGGTAGGAATATTTTCCTATAGGAATTTTTGACATTTTTATATACATCGAAAATTTATGACATTTTCCTACATATATAGGAAAGTATCACAAATTCCTATAGGAAAAGGTTCCTACAAGTCGAGAATAGACCCCTTTTGCTGCGTTTGAGAATCCACATCGGATGCATCTGAGATGTAAAAAATCTTTGATCACGTGATTCAGTATACGTAAATGTAATGGGACAGATGTGTCTGATGTGGATAAAAAAACGCTCGAGATGTAAAAAATGCATCCGATGTGGATTCTCAAACGCGGCATTTGTAGGAAATAATTCCTTTAGTACAAATTCCTACGAGTATTTTCCTACGACTTCAATTACATGTATTCTTGAATCAAAGAGGAATTTATGTCGAGAATCAAGTCCCAGTTCATTAGTTGGAACGTTTTTGTAAACTGTCAAATCCATTCTCCTAATTTTAGTTCTGTGAATTAAAATAGCGTCCAAGATGGAAGGCTATGTCGCAACCCCTCTAACCGAAAAAGGACTTCATTCACAGGATCAGCATTCAGGAATATTTAACTAATTATTTTTTATACCTTTTTGTTTTGTATTATTTTAAATGTTCCGTGTACAGTAATATTTACATAATTTTCTATTTTAAATTCTGTGCTGATACTGCTGAAAACCAACCAACTAGTTGCTGGCTTGCTAGACTAGGGTACTAAAAGGCCATACAACTAAAGAAAAGAAGTAGAAAATCATTTCTATGAAAAACCCGCGAATGGGCGAATTAATTTTTTTAGTTTTGTTGGTTACAAGTGGCTACAGTTCTTGAGACCTAAAACCTAAGTAGTCACAATAATGCCCCAGTATAGAGAAATAATGCTGTGAACAAAGTTTCTTAAAACTATATCAAGTGTTCGTGTTAATTAAACAATATTGATATTAAATCTATTTTCGTTTATACAATTAAGTTCCCTTTATAAATATATTTCATTCTAAATGGAAACGGATCCCAAAGAGATGCCTGTTTCTAGGAAAAGACGGCCAAGATCGAAATCACCTTCTGAAGATAATGCTGAACAAAATTTAAAAAAGAAACGGCTTGATAATGGTGAAGAAATTAGTTTAAACGAAATAACCAATGAACAGGCAAGGTAATTTTAAAGTTTCCCCTTTTCGGAGAGTATTGTTTTTAAATGAATTATATTTTTTGTGTAGTTTACAAGAAACATCTGTGAACGGGTCTATTTATGTTAAAAATGATTCCGCATCTGTGATTAAAGGAGAAACAGAACCTCTAGGAAAACTAGAGTCAAAATTCTGCAGCAATGAGACGAAGACCCGAACAAATAATGAAAATAAAATGGAAATTTTTACACAGCAGAAAGAGATATCTGAAACTGGAACAATAAATGATATAGAATGCAACAATACTGATGACAAAACACTTATAAAGTAAGAGTATATCGTAATGTCTTTTGAGTATATATATCATTATTTTTCTATTGCTATTGAATTTTGTGCTAATCTATTTACTTATTTTGGTATACATATTTCATTCATGATAAATTATTGATTTTAACAAATATATATATTTGTAGTATTTCAGAAGAAAAATCTCCCGAGAAATCTGATCAGTTCAATAAAATAGAAGGCACAACTCAAGGTTTAGTGGAAAATAAAAAATGTGAGGAAAATATTGTTTTAGAATCTGAAGAAAAAAGAGCAGAGGATAAGATTAGTGAGGCACTAATCCTATCATCTGACACTGATGAAGATACAACATTTGATAAAGAAAAATTATTAAAAACACTAGACCACACTCCAACGAAAAAATTAAATCCAGAAACTCCAAATAAAAAACTAACACCCAAACAGATGCAAAAGAAATTAGAGGCTGAAAAGAGGAACCAAGAAAAGCAGAAAGACAAGGAAGAAAGAATGAAAAAGAAACTTGAAGAAAAAGAACGTATAACACAGGAAAAATTAAAAAAAAAGGAAATGAAGGAAAAAGAAATTGAACTAAAGAAAAAAGAAAGGGATGAAAAAGAGGAAAAGAAAAGAAAGGAACGTGAAGAGAAAGAACAAAAACGAAAAGAAAAGGAAGAAATGGAAGAACAAAAGCGCAAAGAAAGAGAACAGGAAAAACAAAAGAAACTACAAGAAATTGAAGAGAAAAATATGGAGAAATTAAAAGAGGAAGAAAAGAAACAAAAAGCTGTAGCGGCATTTGTAAACTTTTTTGTTCCTAAAAAGTCTGAAGAAACACAAAGGGTACAAACTTCAAATTTTCTTGAATTTGAAGTCAAGTCAGACATGAAACTGCCTCTTCCTAGAAGAGAAACTATGTCTACAAAAGAAAAAGAAACATTAGAATACTTAATTCAAAATCAAAACGAAAAAGCTTCTTACTTAAAAGATCTCTCATCTGGAAAAGTAATTGGAAAAAGCTTAAAAACTTGGCCTTATAAAGAGACCATAGATGATGATGTTCTATTAGTAGATTTGGGAGAAACTATTTGTGAAGACAAATCAAGTTTACAGAGACACAGAGCTAAATTTTTATATTTTCACGAAAATCGTAGGCCCGCATATTATGGTACCTGGAGAAAAGAAAGTAAATTTGTTTTACCAAGAAAACCTTTTGGAGAAGATAAAAAGTTACTCAACTATGAAGAAGACTCAGATGATGATTGGGAAGAAGAAGAACAAGGTGAATCTCTTAATGGTTCTGAAGATGAAGCAGACAAAGAAATTGAAGATGAAAAAGATGATTATGAAGTCGATAATGAATTCTTTGTACCACATGGACACTTAAGTGATGATGAAGTTGATGATGAGGAAATGGCAAGATTGTCACCTGATTCCCTCAAACAAAAACTGAAACTTCTCAAAGAAGAATTTGATCAAGATATGAAATTAAAAACTCTTAAACTAAAACCCAGATCAATTGGCTGTATTTGGTATAACAAAGAAGGCACTAATGTTGAGGATCCTGTTAATAAATATTTACAACCACTTGCTATAATAACTAGACACACTCAGATAATTATTAAAAGCAGAATTGACATTGCCAGTTTGGTCAAGGAGAAAAGAAATAAAGTAATTAAAGAGTTAGATCCTGAGCTTATCCCTTCACTTCTAAAAATAATTCATGGAAGTTCTAAGAAAAAGAGCATGTTGGTAGAACAGTTTCTAGCCGAAAATGAACTTAATGTTTCTAAAGGTTCCTTAATGAGACAGTTAAAACAATGTGCGGTTTGGGAGAAGTATAAAGATCTAGAAACAAAAAGGTACAAGTTTCGTTGGATTGTTCATCAAGAATTAAGAGAAAAATATAATTTAATTTAGTATTTAAGTTTATGCATTATGATTATACAATCTTAAATAAACCAATAAAATGATGCTGGAAAATATCATTGGAACTATTTCTTTATCTTTTTTTTTTAATTAACAATGATTAAATTTTAAAATGTTAATACTTTTTATATATTTTTTATTATTAAATAATAAAAAATTATTTTTTATTTACCGCCCATTCTTTTTTGTCACGTTTGCCATTTAACTAAGGGTCTATTTATACTCCCTTATTATTAGTATTTGCATTAGTATTATGATTAAGCATTAAGTTGAACCTTCACAATGTAATGGGAACATTTATACTCGATTTATGATTAGTATTAGCATTAATATTTATGCTTAATAATTGACAGGTGCAACTTTTAAATTAAATATTAAATTTCTTCTTTTCTATAAAATGAATCAATGGCGTATTTGGCCTTTGTTTTTAATAGACAACGGATAAGGATAATTGACAATACACATATGATTATGTTGTTTATTTGTTTGTTCCAACAAGCTCGAAAACGATAATATTTCGGTACAAATCATGCTCTATATACAATTTTTGTATATCAGCAGTGTTTACCGATTATAAAGTTGACAAATGACATGTCACCATGAGGAAGCAAAGGCCTCTTTTCTGTCTGATTTGTATCAAATTTCTGCTTCTTTTTATCTGTTATAAATTTTAGACTTAAATCCGTTAAAATGTCCTTATATAAACCTATTTTTAAATAATATTAACTAATTAACTAGTAAAAATATTAATAAAAACACATTTAAAACTCAAATATCTTAAAAGAACACAACCGGCCTCTTACACATTTCTTCAGTAACCATATATTTTGTTGACTGCAGAATTATATCTTATTAGGTATTAGGTTTAAAAAAGAATTACTAATACTAATTATAAAACGAGTATAAATACCTTTTTTGAATGATTTAACAAATTTAATGCTTAATCATAATACTAATACTAAGGGTCTATTTATACTCCCTTATTATTAGTATTTGCATTAGTATTATGATTAAGCATTAAGTTGAACCTTCACAATGTAATGGGGACATTTATACTCGATTTATGATTAGTATTAGCATTAATATTTATGCTTAATAATTGACAGATTCAACTTTTAAATTAAATATTAAATTTCTTCTTTTCTATAAAATGAATCAATGGCGTATTTGGCCTTTGTTTTTAATAGACAACGGATAAGGATAATTGACAATACACACATGATTATGTTGTTTATATGTTTGTTCCAACAAGCTCGAAAACGATAATATTTCGGTACAAATCATGCTATGTATACAATTTTTGTGTATCAGCAGTGTTTACCGATTATAAAGTTGACAAATGACATGTCACCACGAGGAAGCAAAGGCCTCTTTTCTGTCTGATTTGTATCATATTTCTGCTTCTTTTTATCTGTTATAAATTTGAGACTTAAATCCGTTAAAATGTCCTTAATTAAACCTATTTTTGAATATTAATATTTTTAAATAAAATTAACTAGTAAAACTATTAATAAAAACACATTTAAAACTCAAATATCTTAAAAGAACACAACCGGCCTCTTACACATTTCTTCAGTAACCATATATTTTGTTGACTGCAGAATTATATCTTATTAGGTATTAGGTTTAAAAAAGAATTACTAATACTAATTATAAAACGAGTATAAATACCTTTTTTTAATGATTTAACAAATTTAATGCTTAATCATAATACTAATACAAATACTAATACTAAGGGAGTATAAATAGACCCTAAGGGAGTATAAATAGACCCTTAATTTGAATATAATTGCTAATTTTATTTAAAATTTCTGCTGTATTCGCCAGTAGAGGAAAGGAACTCAGTCGAATTCAAAAAGTAATGGCCAAACAACTTATAAAAATAATCTCCGACTAGAAAGAAGAATTAGTGATATTTGACACTTCGGCGCCCACATGTGCGTATTGAAATACACTAAAACCAAAGAGCTAAAACGGTTCATCAAAATTAAATTTAAAATTATTATATTCAACTACAGCACCTTTTAATTTAAGAAAATCACTTAAAAATGATTTTTAATTAATACGCAAATGATCCAATAATAATAATTATTAAAATAGGGCGTTATTAATAAAAATAATATAATTTATCATAGTGAAAAATGTGACATTAGAATATAGAATGCTCGAAATTGACAGTCTGGCGTCCAAATTGTCATGCGTACCTACCGTTTTTTCACCCATGTCGGCTTAGAAATTAGGAGTAGGGTTTATGTTATGTCATATCCAGTTTATTATCAAGGTCGGTGTACTCAACACGGTGGGTAAAATTTCTTTATCTCGACCCATATTTCTTTTAAATAGGAACAGTTTGGGTAATTTGACCCGATAAAACGTTCCACATTTAGAATCAAAGCAACTTCCGGACGCGTTACCCTGCATTTCTGAACGCACCCCTGCTGTTCTGTGTCAAGTCAAGTTGTCATACAAAACAAAAATAAATAAAGTTTGGTAGAAATAAAACAAAAACAGCAAAAACTTATTTTGTTTTATTTTAAATACTTGGATGATTCAAGGTAAATTCTTTTTATATCTTGCTAGAAACATTATTTTAAGTTAAAATTATGGTTTTAGATGCCTGGAAGAATATGTGCTATTGCTACGTGCAACAACAATCAGGCTATTTTAAATAATCAAGGAATATATACTACTTTTCATTACTTCCCAAAAGGCAGTGATTCGGAGTCTTGCGCTATTCGTAAAGAATGGATAAAACGTTGCAGAAGGGCAGATAAATTTAATGTAGATACGTCTACAATTTGTTCTTCGCATTTTACGCCGAACGATTATGAAAGAGACTTACAGAATGAGTTGCTAAGTGAGTACTATACAGTGTGTTCATGTAATAACGTGTCACAATACGAAATACAGTTTCAGGGTTAATTCCCTATATGCATAAGTCAGTTGGATGAGCAAGAATTTACAATTCATTACCACCTGATCTAAAATTAATTAATTGTCTACCTTAAACAATTCAAAAAAAACTTTTTTGTTCAGTAACATCATAACAATCTATCTTGTAATAGAGATCCTGTACTGAAGCAGAAATCCCTTTTAGGTCTAGCTTCAGAAACTAGTTTTCTACAAAATATTTAATGCCTCTGCACCTGCAGCCATTTGATTGTACCTCTTTTCAAGAGTTTTCAAATGGATTTCTCTTTTTGTTGAATACAAATTTTTAACAAATTGACAAATTTAAAATTATTTTGTTAACTGCCACCTGGCATAATAACATGATGTAATTAATCTATGACATGCCATTTTACATTTAAACAATAAATAATAATAAATCTTTATTGGTCCTTTTTGATCACTATACAATGATGTAGGATATGTCAATATACATGTAGTAATTTAAAATCTACATTTAAATATACATACATACAAATATACACACGTACCTACATACATATACATAATATATATTACATTACCTAGTAGTAATCCTTAATATTATAAAAACATTTTGTTACTAATTTTTTTTTAATGTTTGTTTAAAGCTGTTAATGGATTTTATGTTTTTAATATCAGCTGGCAATTTATTAAATAATTGAATTCCTGCATACTCAGGACTATGTTCATAGAGAGCAGATACATGCCTAATTGTATGTAACATATTGCCATTATGAGTGGGATAGTTGTGACAATCAATCATTGTTCCTGAAAAATTTAGCTTCATTTTTTTTGTATATAAGATTGTCTTATAAATATATATTGAGGTTAGAGTGAGTATGTGATGTTTAATAAAATGATCCCTGCATGTTTGTCTTAATTCCATATTGAAGATAAGTCTAATTGCTCTTTTTTGTGCAATAAATACTCTTGTAGTAGCAGGAGAATTTCCCCAGTGTAATATTGTATGTTATGTGTGAATATACAATTGCATAATATACCTGTAGAAGTTGGTTAAATGTAAATGTCTGTTTTAATTGAAGTAGAGCATAACAACCGCTATTAACCTTGGTTGTTTCATAAGGAGCTGTTTTCTTAAAATATCACAGTTGAAATCACCATTTTTTAGACACATTTTGATATTTGATTCAACATTTTTATTATAGTTTATACCTCTAAAAATTTTTTGATAGCGTTTTTAAAAGCAGTATCTACAAGAGAACACACTGTTTTTTTTTAAAGAACTTAGGGTATTTCCGAGACTTTACTAGAAAATATTAAGTCATTTAATTTTAATTATTATCAAGTATGTTTTTGTTTTTTTACATTTATTATCATATTGTTAGAAGTTAAAAGAATTAACTTCAAAATTATTGTTTTTAAATAATTTATCACCCTGTATACTATAACACCCTGTATAGCCACTTCACAAAACACGTGTTAATATGGTTTTATAATGTTTTAATAAATATCTCGTAAACAATGTTTGAAATGTAAATTAAGGAATAAAATAAAGAATGTCTTTAACGGCATATTGCCTATCACTTCATAGCGTTCGGCTGGTCGAATGTCGAGTTCCCGCTCTCGGCGCTCTCTCCTGGTCCTGGACACTGAAACGGGTAGACCATGGAGGAAGGGTAGACGTGGTATTGTCGACCCCAGTGGCGGCGACATCCTAATTCGCTGACTCTAACAGACACTGCAACGGGCAGACGTGGTATCGTCGACCCTATGTGTTGGTTGTTAAAACTAGATTTAAAAATTGGATTGTAAAATTAGGTTGTAAAACTAAATTGTTCTCATAAAAATTAATAAAAAAAGATTTTCGAAATTAAATTTTCAAGAAGGAGGTTTTGATTCGTGAACTGTAAATCAAATAAATAAATTACTTGTCCAGCATAATAATTTATTATATTTTTATTAACTTTTTTGAGAATAAATTGTATTATTTTAATTTAATTCAATACAAATAATTTACTTTAAAACTTATTTTATAATATTACTATATTATTTTTAGATTTACCTTTACGCAAGGTTTTGAAAAAGACTGCTGTACCCACAATTAATTTAAGAAAGACTGCTGTACCTACAATTAACTTAAAAAAAACTCTTGATGAATCTTCTAAAGAATCTCATCAAGAAAAAAGAACTAAAAGAAAGATGAATAGAGACGCCGTAAAAGAAACAATTTCTTCTACTACCCACTATCCTAATATGAAAAACGAAAATGTACATGGAAAGACCTGTAAAATTCTGGAAAACACAGAAGATACTGAAGAAATTATTTTGATTATTACAGATCCTACAACTGAAACCGTTAATTACAAACAAAAATATGAACAGCTACTACAAAAATATAATAATCTAAAACAAAAATTCAGTAAGATTTACAGTTTAAAAAATAAGTATAATCATTCAATAACGGTAATAAATACAAACAGTACAAAAGTTAATAAAAAAAGGCACTTACGCAAAATTAAATAGATTTGCTGTTCTAAAAAATAGTTCACTAGAATCCAGATGAAATATGTCGTAATAATACTGAAATATAGCAAAAGTTGCTATTTATATTTTAAGAAACAAATTAACAAATAATTTGCCTTCTTTATCAAATTTAAATTTACTAAAAAAAACCTGCCCTACAGTTTCTTGTAATAAAAGTAAAGCCTGCAAGAATGTGATACTTACTGCTAAGGACCAAAAAATAATAATTTGGATACAAGGATGTCACAAAGATATGTGTTCTAAAGCTTTACCAGAGTGAAAACAGACAGGAGTTTTAGCCATGAGTTTGGAGGCCAGCAGTAACACATAAATGTAACATCAATTCGTGTTTGAGCCATGAATTATTTGTACATCAACTATAGGAAACATATGTTCTTAAACTATTTAAGTAACTAATTACAAAGCTAAGTTCTTATATAAAAATTAAACATTAATAAAAACATTAAAAAATCACAGCTAACTTACAAATTTGCCTATGTTTTCTAATGAATATAATAGCTCAATATTTTAAATATAAACAACTTTTTATTTTTTTTTCTTTTTGTTCCTTTAGAATATTTTTCTGGACAGCAAATCGACCCTATATTAAACACTTAAAAAAATCTTTATTGACCTAATGTGCAAGTAAATATATATTTTTTTAAATTTGCTTTTATTTTTTCTTATCTAATGAATATCGACCAATCAATAATTTTATTCTAATTTAATTTGTTACATATTATTAGCTTTATGTTCTTTAAAATTAAATTAACACTCATAATTTTAGTTAAAAGACGACAATTTCCTTTTAATATAACTTTTAAGACAAAAATGTATATTTAAAAAATATATTGTGGTACAACTAATTTGGAATTTTCTTTTTTTTTTTGAACATTTCATGACTTACAAAAATATATTTCAAAGATAATTTCCACAAAATTCTTGAACTTTGGCACACTTTGTGTAAGATTAAAAGTATTACCAATATCACTGTACCATTTATTTATGGTGAGATCTGTTCATTTTCTACGAACTTCCAGATAAGGTATGCTTAAATATTGTTGCAATTCCACATAATTGTAGTAAATGTTAAATGCTTTGTATCTAAGAAAACTATTTTGAACTCCATCCAGTTTACTTTTATGACTTAGGTAGTGTGGGAACAAGACTGAGGTCGATCTTTTTCAACTCTCTCATCCACACTCGTCTTGTTAACTTGTTTCGTCTATCGCCTATCGTTCATCCTCTTTATACGGATTAGAAAAAAATTATACGAGCCATAGGCTATATAGGTATTGCATCTCTATATTTTGTGTACGACTACCACCTCTTCTGTGACCTGCGAGCTCGTAGAAGGTTCCAATTTAGTAATGCATGAACTATTGTGAGGTATTCTCTTTAATTAAATAAATACGTAATTATCTGACGCTAGACGACTAAGTCCAACTCCGGCGCAGGAGGCTGGACAACGGCGATCACCTCAAAAAAAGGAGGATGGACGTTAACGCTCACTTCCTGCAAAGGAGCCTGGACAACAAAGTTCAGCTCCTGTACAGGAGGCTGGACAGTGACGCCCAATTCCAAAAAAGGAGGATGGACATAGTAGTTCACTCCAACTAACAGGCCCCGGAGAGGCAAAAGAATCTCTGGATCTAAAGCAAAGAGGAGGAAGAGGGATACGCTGCAGGCAGGCAGTGCTACGGCAACCGCCACCCTCAGCAAACTCCCTCACTCCAAAATAAACAAAAGCGGCTTTATCAAGTCCTTAGGCAGCGACGCTAGTTCTGCCTCCAGTAGAGGCCAGGAACACGATGCAACTAGGGACAAGAAAAGGCCGCGATTTTACACCTCTTTAGAGGTAACACCCTGGAAGGGGAAAAAACCCAGACAGGACCACAAAGTTCTGTCTGGGATAAGCTACAAGGATGCAGCTACGAATCACCTGAAAGTAGCTATAATAGACAAGGATAACCCTTTCGGTAAAATAACTACCGAAAGAAAATTCTTGTCAAAAAGATATTGGTGGGAGAGCTGGACAAAATTTTGTCCGCCTCCTGCAACAAAACCAAGCCACCCACCTTCAGGTCTTGGACGCACTCTGGTGAAATCATCAGAGTAACGTGCGACGATGACCTGACGTTGGAATGACTAAAAACCAAGGTACCAACCTTAAAAACATGGGAAGGAGCAACACTTGCTGTTGTGAGGATGGACGAGCTCACCAAAGCCTCTCTGGATCCCAAGGGAAGCGCAAGCTGACCTTGACGAGAAGGAGATTGTGCTCAGGCGACTTGAGGGGCAAAACTCAAACTTACATGTGGCCAAATGGTGCACCTTCCACCATGAAATAAAAAAGACCCCAAGGCCCATATCTTCGTTTTCGGCATCAAAGACATGGGAACCCTAAAGGCCAAATCAATGAGAATAACCTATGCGTTCACCTCATTGACTATAATGCCAAAGGTCGAAAAAAAGGCTGAAGCGGGGCCCAGTCCTTGGTAAAGGACCCTCTTCCCTCTCAATTCAAGCCAACAGTGGAGGACGTCGAGCCAGAAAAAATGGTAATCGATGACCTTCAGCATGAAAACTCCGAGGAGCCACAAGAGATCATCCCCTCCCCACTTTCGGAGGAAGGGATGGTCGAATAAAAAAAAACCACTTTGCTGCCCAATTTTTAACGGAAGACCGGGTAGCAATAAAAGAAGTAAGTATCATACAATGTAACTTGCAGCACAAAAGGGTGGCTACGGCAACATTATGCCGCCGCCTAATTTTTAGCTTCCCTAGCAATCAACAACCTAGGACAGCCATTTACATTCCTAGGAAATACGAAGCCCACTCAATGGCACACCTTTCCACCTCCAATTTAACTGCGGTTATACTACCTGAAACGGAAGTTTAAGCTGGTAATAGGTTGCGACTCAAACGCTCATCACTTCATTTGGGGCAGTAAGGATAACAACGCTAGAGGTAAGTCATTTTATGATTATATAATTACCAAAAATCTTTGTATTTTAAATAAAGGTACTGCACCAACATTTTTAAACTCCCGCAGTCAAACACTAATAAATATTACTTTATCCACAACTGGTATCTATAAATCAATTCTAAACTGGCAAGTGTCTGATAATATTTCGATGTCAGACCACCGCTGGTTAACATTCAAAATAAACTTGATGTTGCCGACCTCCACGCTATCTCGGAACCCTAGACAGACGGACAGGGTAATCTATGTACCCACCTTCTCCAAGAGGCTCTGGATGGCACGAAAACTGCCAAAAACCCAAATTTTTCGGCCTAATGTAACCACTTATTTTTACAAAACATGATGAACAAACTAAAACAGCACCATTCAATTTTATCTTATCTGATAACTGTATAGAAGAAGTCATATGTTGGACACATCATATATTTATTTTAAAGCATGCAGCAGGATTGAATTAATTGCATTATCATTAGTTTTATCACTAGTTACTTTCCTATCTGTATACAGATATAAGGAAAGTATAGGAATCATTGTTCTATTAATTATGATGTCAAATACGACTGACCACCATATTTTCTTTGTACTTAAATATTAAGAAAGCACTGTTGCAACACTTCTGCTAGAAAAAAAATAATACATTTAATAATTTTGTAATAAAACAAACGTTTCTCTTATATAACTCTATTTAAATTATTTTTTCTCAGCATAAACAATGGATGGATCGCCGAATTGATGGACACTTTCATCGTACTGATCCTCGGGCGTATCGTCATCTACTTTTTCCAAGTAAGTTGGAAATGGCAGGGGCTTTTCGGGCTTCCTTAATGGTAATTTAGAATCATAAATGAAACAAATGGAATTCGTTTCTCCAGGTATTGCCTGTCCAGTAACCCACAATACATTGTATTTTCTGTTTATCCTTAAAATTTTTACTCCTTTAGCTATTCTCCATGTGTTACCCATATGTCCTGGCATTTTTGTACCTGGCCAGACTCGACCTTTTTCGCCTCCACCACCAATATTACCACCCCTTCGATGCGTTTTTGTTACTCCGTGAGATGCTGGCATACCCTTGAATCCGTGGCGTTTCATTACCCCTTGAAAACCACGATCAATCCTGAAATACAAAGCAATGTGCTATTATAGCAGTAATATTTTTTTAATAAACTGTATGAAGCTATTATATACAAAGTAAGGTAAAATGACCAATAGATGACAGTCTTAAGGGAAAAAAAAATCATATTTTATACATTCTGACACCAAATTTACAAATTTGCTTAGATTGAATCTTGCTTAAGAGAAGTAACAATTCAAACTTGAGTTAAAATTAAAAAATATTGTGAAAAAATATATAACATACGCACCCATAGATGACACCCATAAACGAATATGTGTCAATAGATAACATAGCAACTTTACCAAAAGATGACATATACACCTATTGAATTTATATTTTATTTGGTAAAAAAAAACACAAGTATTCTTAAAATAATTAACACTGATAGCTGTGAAAGGAAAACATTAGCCCAGTGCTGAAATAATCTTAAATTTCTTTGACTGGTAATGACGTTTTAAAGAGGTAACTTATTCTCTCTCCTCTACTCAAAATTTCTCGTTGAGTCACTTTGCCAATCACTTGGTCAATGGTAACCGAGGAAATATCATTTTCATTTGGTACAAACTGTTTTTTATTTTTGTCCCTTGATTTGAGTCCCAACACCCGCACGAAATCGCCCTTTTCTTGCACAACACAAATAAACAAACAAACTTTGTTTGGTTTCGTTTCCTCCAACAAATTCGCAGAGTATGAAGTCGCCTTCAACAATAGCTTTAAGAGAAACTGGCTCAATTAAAATATCATTGACTTCCTCTTCAAAATCTTCATCCCACTGTGAAGACTACTTATTGAAAGTGACTCTGCTGTTGAAGATTCTCTATCTTCTTCTATTTTGGATTATTTAATTTCCTTTCTTTTGTTATTTTTCTGATCTTCAACTTTTCTTTGTTTTTTCCAACTTGCTTCTCTTTATTTCTAATTCCTGTTGTTTTTTTGTAAAATGAACAAAGTTTACAAGTAATAAAAGGTTAAAAATATTTGAAAAACAAATATTAGTCAATTGAAATAGTAAAATTTAAAATATTCAAGACTATACAAAACAAATCACATACATTAAACATATTAAAAGATAAGGCTTATTTTAAACAACCTTGTTTTTTCAAAAAACTAACATTTTTGAAAGAAGACCTGTCAAGTTAAGGCCTCTACAGGTGGTGGCAAGTATTAACAAAAATATTCTTGGGTAAACCCATGACAGGGTATAGGTAATAAGATGTAAACTATGAGTGAAGAAATATTTATTATTTATTATATAAGATTTGGGCCATGAACCAATCACCAAGTGGTTTGGTTTGTTCTTCCAGCTTCTTCTGTTTCACTTCCTCTTTTTTTTTATAATACGTGAGAGCCTGAGCTGATGTTAATACTGAAGGTATCTTTTTCCTTTCAACTTTTTTGTTAGATGTAGGTTTTCTTCTGGCCAAAAAAGTATTCTCTTGAATGGAGTTTTTGGTACTTGCAAGTTTTTGGTTCTCAACACTTGCAAGTTGATTTTTTGGAGGTGTCAAATGAGGGATAACAAAATACTAAATGTGTTTGCAGTTCTTATTAAACATGATTGAATTTGGGGTGTCATCTATTGGTATGAACAACTTAGGGTGTCACCCATTGATCATTTTACCTTACTTTAGCAAAATTTGGCTATTATGATGTAACTGGAGACCGAAGAAACAATTCTTAACATTTTATGCTCAAGAGTATTTAAATTTTATTGCCAAATTTAAAAATTATTATGGACAATGCCAATTGTTATAACTATCAATATGAATTTTAAATAAAAATTACTACATCTCTTTTTTTACTTTAATTAATTTATGAATGTATTTTATTTTTTATATAAAATAAATTCTGTAGGTATCAATATTTCTTACGTTTTTGCTCTAATATCAAGAGCATTTCCAACTTGAAAATGCATAGCACTGACGAGTGTCCCTAAAGGTAGTGCTGCATTTGGACTCACAAAAAATCTTGCTAGGATCTTTTTTGGTATAACGCCAGATTCTTTAAATAAACCACAATAATCTTTTGTGAAGAGTGATGGATCTCCACCCTCAGCTCCTAAAAGCAAACAAGCTTTTTTATTACGTATCCCAATTGGTCCTTTTCTAGGCGGGTCATATTCTTCTGGAAGGTAATGTTTTATAACATGGTTATCCAATACCTAAAAGCAACAAATATATCAATATCAACACTTACATAAAAATTATATTTAAATGTAGATAATGTTATTGACTTACTTGTAATAATGTTGTTTGAATTTTTTTTCCATTTTTTAACCATAAAGGATAAATTCCAATTTTTTTCGCGATTACACCTGTTCTCTGTAGCTCCGGAGTCCATTCAATATTTCCAGGTATTTCTCCCTTAGGAGATACATTGCTATATTTGTCTTGAATAATTTGCTGTATAAATTTTTCATTTTCTGGAGTTACTTGTTCATCTCTCTCCTACAAAAAATTAGAAAACTAAATCTGTTTTATTAGTTTCCTAACACTGCAGCTATTAAAAGTCTTACTATACAACTATTTGGGATGTCTTATGTACTGTGATAGTAAGTCACTCTGGCACTACCACGGGAGATGAACCATTACAAGACACATGTGATATAATTACTTACAGCTATCATTTTTTTTGTAAACCATGTGGGGTTTCTTAGTCGAGGTTTCGGATTTAAGACATGTCTTTCTCTTATTTGATTGGAACTACAAATTATGCTAAAATAGACAATTAAACATATATAGGTACTCCCAATTTTTTGTTCAATTGATATACCTTAATTTAAAAAACTTATCCTCTATTGCTTTTATATTCGATTTGGCGAATACATTTGAAAATACAAGTGCCATTTTATTAATAAGTATTTTAAATACTATTTTTTACCCTTTTTAAACTTCCACAACATAACCTAAAAAATTTGGTTAGCTTCTTCTTCTTTCTTTATTCGAAATTTGGGCAGCTAAAATCGAAGTTCGGTTATATCGCGTACATTTAGAGATGGGTAGTAACCTTAGATAAAAGAGACCGGAGATGTAACATTGCACATTGCGCATGTTGTCTATTCCAAACCTAAGTAACCCACCAATTAAAAATCATTGTGTTCACGACGCCACCCGAATTGCTCCGAAATTTCTATTCTTTGCTTGTCTCCGCGTGAGTAAACCATTTATGGACCGCCGTTTTTGAATTATTTGTTGGTGTTATTAGCAATTTAAAGTGTTTTAGTTATTTAATTTCAAGTTGAAAATGCCACGATGTATGGTGAAAAATTGTATATACAAATAATGTGTCAATGTTATGAAAAATAAGAAATATATTCGTTTTCAGCGGTAAATATTTGTTGACGTTTTGACATAAAGTCGCCATGATTCTTCGAGCTGAATACTTCAGATCCGCATTAAGGGGTTTCAATAAATATTTAATCTAAATAAGAAGTAAATAGGCATTGTTACTAACGAAATTTTGTTTTTAAAAAGTAGTTTTATAAGAATATTTACTAAAAGTGGTTTTTAGCCCTTTATTAGATATTTTTACAAGAATATTAGATGAAATACAGGTTCACCTACTTAAAATTTCAAGGTTTATTTTATTTGCGGTTAAATCAGAAGTGACATTTGAATCTTAAAACAAAGTAAAACGCGCAATATGATCTAGTATAAGCAAAAAATACTAAAGTTACGGAAATTAGTCATATTATTAGTAAAATGTTACATTATTAACACCTAAACAACTCGAAAAATATCTTCGTTTACTAAAAAATTCTAAATTCTAGCAATATTTATTATACAATCGAATGCTGTTTCAAAGATAACAGGATCAATAAATCCGAATCTCTAAATTTTGGAGCTAAATGCTCTGATAAAAGCATGCGACCGATAGGGGTTACAAAAATAATCGATTTATCGTTTTCATGAAAATCGATTTATCCGTTATAATTAATAGATCATCTTTAATAGATTATTTTTGATTAATCGAACATTTTTAATAAATTTTTTTCGTTTTTTTAGGTAATGGAATAATCGATTATAAAGGAATTACAAAAAGAGAGTAGATTTATTCAAAATATTCGATTTATTGAAAATAATCGATTTTTTTAGAAAAATCGATTTATTGTTTAATAGACTTTTTAAATTAATCGATTATTTTCGATTAATCGATTATTTTAGATTAATCGATTATATTAGATTTTTCAAAGGTATTCAAATAATTTGTTTTAAAATACAACAAATAGATTATATAAAAATAATCGATTGATCGAATATAATCGGTTATATTATATAATCGATATTTCGGTTATTTTTTAGAATTATTGATTTATCGGTAAATCAGCTTTTTATTAATCAATTATTTTCGATTTTTCAAAGAAAATTAAATAATCAGTTTTAAAAGGAATATAAAAAAAGAAAAGGATTATTTGTAAATAATCATTAATTATTCAGTTTTTTTTTTTGGAAAATCGGTTTATCGTAGAATCTTCTTAATTAATTGGTTATTTTCCGTTAATCGATTATTTTCGATGTTTCAAAAATGATCGAATAATTGATTTTAAAGGAAATAATTCTTTTTTTTTTTGAAAAATCGATTTATCGATTATTCGACTTTTTAATTAATCGATTATTTTAGATTTTTCAAAGATTATCGATGGAAATACGAAAAAAAAATAGAAATTAAAAATAATCGATTATTTAAAATAAACGATAATTCGTTTATTATTTTTTGTAAACACTGATTTATCGGTTAATTGGCTTTTTAATTAATCTATTTTTTTTGATTTTTTAAAGATAATCAAGTAGTCAATTTTAAAGGAAATACGAACAAAAATAGATTGTTTGAAAATAATCGATTGATCGAAAATAATCGATTATTATTAATGATCAATAATTTATTTCGATAATCACCCACTCCTAGCGACCAAATGACTTTTAATAGGTTTAAATTTTAAAATGTTATCTGGTTTCAGACATATACATTTCTAGAGTTTTATGTGACGCATCTTCTATATTAATTAATATTCCTAAAGAAACAAGCTTTAATATATCTTTTTCTGAGGTTATAATACAAAACAGCATTTTCTCATTTTGACTAAATTTTAATATTATGTGATAGTCGTAGAAAAAATATAATGTTCAACTCACAAGGTTTGATTTGCAGTATTCGCCTGCGCACATGCTTTTTTATAATACTCTTAGACAATGAGTACCATTTCTTACTCGATTAACAATATTCTATTTCAACATTTTACTGTAGTCTCTTACAGAAAAGTCCATAGTAAATAATAGCTAACGAAATATTCTATTAAAGGTCTTCTCTTTACATAAAATGTCGTGGCATCTGTTTGATATTAAAAAATCACGTTAAATTTATTTCATAATACAAAATTCCATTAAACGTATATTTTAAATAAATCTAATAGTTCTTTATGATGCTAATAAACAAAGTCCGGTCCCTGTCACAGAGTTTGAGTCCCTGCCCAGTTCCCCCACTCCGTTAACCTTTCTTTAGAAATTGACAACATTTGCGCAGGTTAAACACCGGTGTATGTTATATCTCTGGTCTCTTTTATCTAAGGTAGTAACAAATCGTAAATGTACATAACGCAATGATACATCCAGCACTCACTTTGGTTATGGGACTAAAAAGAACCAATTAGAACGGGATACGTCACGACTGTGGGCGGGATCGATTGACAATTAACACGTAGCAGTTAGATTTTTTAACCTAACATTTTTGTTTGTTAGTTTGTGCCAGTTTTTGTTTTGGTTTTGCTCACGGCCAAATATTTACAGTAATAATCCTTCCTCCATGATTTACAGTTATAGTGTGTGTACATACAATCCATGTACAATCGTGGTTTTGATGTTTGCTTTTACCATAGTTGCTTACCGAAATAATGGATATCGCGCCACTACCCTCTTTGAATGATGAATTTAATGTAAGTACAACATTTTTGTACCTTGTTTCTCTAAGACGAAAATTAAGCCTTTCAAGTAAAAGTTCATATTTGTTTTCTTTTGTATAACTACTAATTAAATATTTTTGCTGAGAAAATTGGTACCTACATGTATGTTCATAAACATAAAGTACAAACAAACTGCTAGGATTTTTGTGTAATTAAATCTTTATTTTTCAGTCAGTTTTTCCACCTGGTTGGGGAACAACAATTATTGGTAAAAAAATAGTAGAGGGTGAAGATAAGTTCCCGAATGTAGAATTGCATTTTTTCATCAATTGCACCAATGAAGAGGAGTTTGGAAAGTGGTTGATGGAGTTTGAAAATTCAACAAGTTCATCATACGTTATCGCCTGTACAGACGTTGAGAATGGAGCTAAATTGAAACTGAAAAGAAGACTAAGGTAATAAAGGTTTTATTATTAATAAAACCTTTGGAAAACACAGATTTTACAGGTTACAAAAATTAGGTAGTAAATTAATGTAATAAATATCACATTTGTTTATGCTCTTATTTATAATGTAGGTTATATTATTTGTTACATGTAGGTTTATTACAGTTTATTATTATGTTACCTGGAAAATTTAATTTTAGGTGTCATCATTCTACACGGTGCACTAAAACCTACAACCCGTCCTTAAAAAACAAAACTAGAAACACCAATTGTCCTTCGAAAATAACTGTAAAGATACATGTTATTAGAAAAAAGTATAGGGGCAAGAAAGAAAATTTCCAACTCTTACAAGAGGCGCCTTGTGAGGTTAAACTTATTTTAACACACAACCATATGACCAATACTGCAGATTCTTTACGGTGTCGTAAAGTTTCTAAGAATGTAAGAGAAGAGTTACTAAGTCTTTATAAGAATGGCCATACAGCAGGAACAGCTTTGGAGATGATTAAATGTAACATTCAGCTTACCAGGGATGATTATGTGACAGCTTTGGCAGACCGTAATATATGTCCAACCTATAAATACTGTTATGATCTATATATGAAAGAGTTTAAAGAAAATTATGGACCTATGAAATTTGATACAGAGGCGAAAATGTTTTTAGAAAATAATCTTACACTGTACAATGCTGAAAAAAGAGAAACAATAACAAACATTCTAGAAATGTTTATGGTATGTTATAAACTTAATTAAATGGGTTTGGTTCGGTTTTGGTATTTTATTTGGTGGTTATAATATGTATTTTTTTATTTATCGTTTGTATGTTTAGAAATAATTTAACTTGACAGCAGATATTGTTGAAATTGTATTAGTTCAATTTAATGAACTAGGTATACTATAATGTAAACCTTCCTATTTAGATTTGTAAAATATACCACTAATTAATTATTTTTTGTGTCCCAATTCAATTTATAAATTGGCAACACAAATAATTGAAATTAAATTTGTATAGATTTCTTTAACTTTATTTTCTAAAGCTTTTGTTAAATTATTTCATTGACTAGAATTATAATCATTTTTAGGAAGTGGCCAAAATCGAAGAGGACGAAAAATTCCTATACAAAGTACTGCTGTAGCTAGAAGAAAAATTAAGAAAAAATCATCAAGACAACTAAAACGATTACGTAATAATACATATGATACAAGTAGATGCGTAATGCCTACTAAATAAAAAATGTTATTAGTTAAATAAACTATTTTTTTAAATTAAACTGCTCATTTTTAAAATTCCTAATGAAATATTTAAATTTAAAAACCGTTTAGGTAATGTAGCTGTAGCATAAAAAGTAATTATCGTAACTGAGGAGTTGGCGGGAAAAACGATCAAATTCGGGGTGGATGGTGCCATCTAAAGATTTTTGTATATAATATATGCCTGGTAAACAGTTGCTGCAAAACGATTAAGATCTCTATAATACACCTAACAGTTATTTATGCAACTAGTGCGAAAAGCACTCTTTTCACACTGTTACATACAATATTTTTCGTAAAATAAATGATAGTAAAATTCTAAAACAAAAGTATTTTCCTTTACACCTTGTAGAAATACCGGCAGTTTTGTTGGAAATTTCCTGTCATAACCGCATCGA